AGTGAGTGGACCTGAGTGAGAACTCCTAGAGTTCTCAGGACATAACAGATGGATGGATGGATAGATAGATAGATAGATAGATAGATAGATAGATAGATAGATAGATAGGAGAGAGGGAGAGAAGAGATGGAGAGAGAGTGGGAGAGGGAGAGAGAGAGAGAGAGAGAAGCAAATGAGAAACCAAAATCTTAGAAATCTTCTGAAAGAGTCCTATTTCATTCATGGCCTCTTTCAATCACAACACATTGGGAGTTTCAAAATTAATATCAAGGCCTTTGACTCCTTTAGTTGAAGTGATGTTCTCAAGAAGAGAAAGCACTATGCTGATTTCCATTTTTAAAAGCCTGCATTGTTTTTTCTTTTTCCATTTAGAAATGAATCCACCCTCTGTCATCATTTCTCGAGCCCCGCTAGAGATTTCCCTCAAGAGCACCACGGCCCTCATTCTCATCTGTGATGTGAGCGGATTTTCCCCAGTGGAGATTAGCATCTCATGGGAAAGAAATAACATGTCCCTGAACAAAAACCTGTACGACAATGGGGTCGCCACACAGATGGCAAACGGGTATTCTATGTACAGCATCTTGAAAATCAACAGAGATGAACCAGGAGGAAAAGGAGGGAGCTACTGCTGTATCATCCACCATCCCACTTCTCAAACTCCATACGTGGCCTGTGAAAAGGTACCCATCGGTAAGTGGACCTTCCAAGGTGGTCGCTGAAGGTATCACGATGAATCACATAGAAACTTCTACGATACATTCTTAATTGTAAAGGGTTAAAAAGAGCTGTTTAGGAGAGCCCCCTAGCTAAGATTCTGTGCAGTTTGGAGAACCCCCAAATACTACTCTGGCAGGCCCTGCCCACCCTGACCTGCCCTGCCCCTCCCAGAAATCCACAAGCAGCCCATTTTGGATGCAGGTAAGTTCAGGGCATGCACAGAGGCTCAGGGAGGGCAAAAAACAGGCCTCCCGGAAGTTCGGGAAGTCCAGAAATGGGCCTATTTCTGGCTTCCAAGTCTAGGGAGGCCATTTTTGCCCTTCCAGAAGCTTGAGGAAAGCCTCTGGAGTCCAGGGAGGGCAAAAATGCCCCCCACCCAGTGCAGAAGGCCGACTAGGCCACACCCATCATGGCCATGCTCACCCAGCAACTGGGCAGAGAACCTTTTGCTAAAATTTTTGAAGCCCACTCCTGGTTAAAAAGCTAATCAATCACAAACATCCTTTGGTTGAGCACTTCACCATGGCTGAGAGCAGGTCCATTAGTGGAAAGAAGGACCCCTCCCCCATTGAAAAATATGATTATTTATAGTGGTTATTATCCTGAGGAACCCAGGTGAAAATGTATATTATGAGCAGCAGAGAATGTACATTGGGCCTTATTGAGTCCTTTCCTTCAAAACTATCCAAATCATCATCAAAATTTCCTAAAGAATTGCAAGATACTTTACAAAAGAAGAACTCAGTCCTTTCCTCATTACGCATCCAATTGTGTAATGGTATTCAGAATCCAGGGACAGTGCCTACACAATTTTCTTTACTGTGATTAGTGGAACACCAACTTTTGAATATAAATTGCTTCCCCAAGTGGAGTTATGAAACAGAATAATAGAGTTGGAATGGACTTTGGAGGTCTTCTAGTCCAACCTCCTGCACAGGTAGGAAACCCTATACCATTTCAGACCAATGGTTATCCAGTCTCTTCTTAAAACCTTCCAGTGTTGGAGCATCCACAACTTCTAGAGGCAAGTTGTTCCATTGATTTAATTATTCTAACCATCAGGAAATTTCTCCTTAGTTCTAGGTTGCTTCTCTCCTTGATTAGTTTCCATCCATTGCTTCTTGTCCTGCCTTGAGGTGCTTTGGAGAATAGTTTGATTCCCCCTCCCATTCTTTATGGCAACTCCTTAGATATTGGAAGAATGCTATCATGTCACCCATAGTCCTTCTTTTCATTAAGCAAATGTACCCAATTCCTACAACCATTGGTACCATGGTTAAGAGCAATAATAACTTGGATTTAAGCAAGTATGTATAAATATATCAACCACGTCTAATATTTTAAAGCATATCCAGGGTACCTCCACAAAGGTAAGACATGGAAATTAGGGTTGGTTCAGTGAAATGCTTGCTAAAATAAATCTCATCGTATCTAATTGTTCTCTCAATTCCATCAGGCAGAGCAATTGCTATTATACCAGAAGGGATCTGGGCTAGTTCACCATATATCTGCATTATGCAAATGATTCTGAGAATGGGTATCCATGTGAAACAGCCATCCAAATCCAACACCACTGATGGAACATTCACACAATCTTGCCCCATTTCTGTCCTATCAGAAGAAACTGTTCATATTTTTGCCTTAAGACTTGTTGGGGGGAGGGGTATTGGAGGAATAACTTGCAGGGGGGGAACCCAAAGGATGGAGGGTTTTTGTGATTTGTTTTATTTTTCTTCTATTGGAAACTGTTTGTCAGGATTCTGACGATTGCCCTAATTGAGTCATGAGCCTCGAGCCAAGCTTCAAAAGAAACAAAATGATTATTAGGGGCAACATCTACAGCATTAACCTGTATGAAGCCAACTTCAGCATATGTAATTTATAGTCATCTGTGACCCTGTTTCCTCTTTCCCTCCTGGGTGTGTCACAAATCAGATTCTCCAATTAAGCACGTTCACAGACTGAGTGTCATTAATCATGTTCTCTAATTAAGGATTTTCGTGGGCAGAAGATCTGGTAGCTTAGCTACAATCTTTGTAAAATAAGTGTTGGAATGTACTTCCGGTTTTAAACTGCCTCACTGCTCTTTCAGATTTCCTTTACCCCACACCTTGTTTATAGCAACTATATAACAGGCATAGGAATGCTTTATGAGTTCACACCGTTGACATTTTAGGGAACTCACCTGAGATAATTAAGTAAAAGAATTTTTTCTTCAAGTTGACACTTAGCTTCTGCTGAGTTCAAGAATGAGTCCATGATGTCTTTCTGGCAGCAATTCAGAAGGGATTGGGTACTATGCCTTCTTGAGAAGTTTTTGACTACCCAGTCTAACTCCCAGTTCTGGAATTCTCCAACTGGAAGGACCTTGGTACCCTCTGAGCTTTGCTGTTTTCTTGCAGATGTTTCACTACCATCATCAGCATCCCTAGCACTGATGATGTTACCTAGTTTGGTAATTAAATGTCTGGAAAAAAACAACCAAGTTGAGAGAGAGCCCCAAGGACCATCAGCATTCCCCCCCCTCCTCCTCCTCCTCCTCCTCCTCCTTCTGTATTCCACACATACCCCTTCTATCATTGATGTTCCCTAGTTGGGCCTTGAAATGTCTTCAAGGAAACAACCCAGTTCAGAGAGTACCAAGGATCCCACAGTCCTCCTCCTGCACTCAACAAATACCCCCTCCCTCCTACCACTGATGTTCCCTATTGGGTCATAAAATACCAGCAAGGAAACAACCCAGCTGAAAGAGCAACAAGGGCCCCACAGTCCTCCTCCATCAACTTCACTCTCCTCCATTCTGGGAACCCCCTTTCTCTTCTACTACTGATGATGTTGCCTAGTTGGGTCATGAAATGTCTGAAAGTAAACAGCCCAGCTCAGAGAACACCAAAGACCCCACAGTTTAACCCTGAGCTTCAAATGATCCCTTCTATCTGGAATTCTCCAAGTGGGTCTCCTTCCAAATATTAGCCAGGACTGATCCTGCTTAGCTTCCCAGCCTAAACAAAACACTAGGTGGTATTATTTTATTTTGCTAATGTCTCAAATGAAGATGTTTTATTCACTCCTTTTTTTTATTGTATAAACTATCTAGGGCACTTATCCTTAACATATATTTAATGACAAAAATAAAGCTCTTTCACAATTAGTTAATATCTGTTTGGATTCTTCGGGTGAACTCTGTCCTAGACTGAGATATTTGAAGTTAAATTATACATTTGCTGTTCTTTCTTTTTACCCACTGAGGTCGTTGGGCTTGAAAAAAAGTTATGATTTAAATCTTGAGTTATGTCTTGGGGGTCCGTGGCTACAAAAGGTATTTCAAGGGTATCCCCAGTGAAGAAAAGGTTGAGAACCACTGATCTAGAAGATAGAAAGCAGAGAAATAGTTGTATATTTTAAATATGATTTGGGAGGAAATCATTACATGCATTTCAACCTTGCATCATTGTTGTCTCTGGGGAAAAAAAGGATATATATTTTTTCAATGTTTCCAGTAGTTTTTTATCTTTCATGCACACAAGTCTAATTTTATTCACAAATTAAAAACAAAACTAGTTCTAGGGGAGGTACTGCTGGTTACTTCTCCTAGTACTTAGTGCCCAATTATTCTAGACATGCTCAGACACAACCTCCATCATCTCCACATTCCCGTCGTACAGCAGAGTCTACATCAGGAAGATTCATACAGTCCTAGTTTGCTTCTTGAAGAATGTCTTCAATTCTTTTATTTACACTCCAGGGAGAACTTTTGCTTATTACAGGTAACTTATTTTTTGATCTCACCCTAACACATGACCCTTGTTCTTCTTATGATTATGGCGCCTGATACTCATAGTCTTGTTACAGATTTCCTGGAGCCTCGAGCACCTACGGTGGAACTGCTGCAGTCGGTAGATTGGGAGAAGGACACAGTGATGTTGAAATGCATTGCTACTGATTACAGGCCCCCAAGTGTCACCATCAATTGGGTGGGTGGTCCACAAAATAAGAAGGAAGATGTTGTGAACCAGAGGATGGCAGATGGAACCTACTGGACTAGCAGCCAATTCACCACCACCCTCTCCCAATGGCAAGAAATGAACAGCACAACTTGTGAGGTGGTACATCACGCAACTAGTACAACAAAGTTCCAGAAGATTTCCAGAAAAGGTGAAACAGAGCAGCAAAGCTAGAATTTCTGAAGTCCATCTTTTAAGCAGACATTTCATACTCCAGTCTTTCCCTTCCCACTTACTGGATGTAAACTGAGGTTTCCTTCTGAACACTGTATGCCTGGATTACCCTCCTCCTCCTCTTTTACTTCTTTGGGTGTTGAGAGAGATACAGTGTTCTGGTTCCTGCTCTTCTGGTGGCCTCAACCATAGTTATTTAAGATCCTGAGTTACCCTGAAATGGCCTGGCTAAAGGGGCTCTGGTGAAATTGTGACAGACCCAACAAACCGGCAATGGATAATTTATTGCTATACAAATTATAACAAGATTATAATGAATGTACTACACTCTTTAAAAAAAAATAGAGAGGATAGTAAGGTGGAATAATTAATTTTGGAACAACCACAATACTATATGGACCATGAAGGGCTAAGGGGGAGATTTTTGAAGCCACCAATGTCTTTCTAAATTCTCTGCCACATTTCTTAGCAAACAAATTCAGTAGAGATCTATGGAGATTATCAGTCATCCAGGTCACAGTTGTCTCAAGGTGCTTTTTCAAGAGGCAACTGGACTTTCTGGTTTTTTCTTTTTAAGAGGTTTCGCTCCGCATCTAGGAAGCTTCTTCAGCTCTGGCTGGATGGTGGGAATGGAAGGATTTATATAGTCCATCTGCATTTAAAAGACAAAGACCACTCTTTTGAAGACCACAAAGTCCACATTTTGGACAGAGAGGACCGCTGGTTTGAAAAACGAGTTACAGAGGCTATCTATCTCCAAATTGAATGGCCCTCTCTCAGCAGAGGGGGGAGGAATATGGCATTATCTATCTGCAATCTACAACATAGTCCTTTCAATTGTTCCAAGAAGGCTCCACACCCATTTGCACTACACAGATGATCCTAAAGACACAGATAAGCCTCCAGGTGACCTTAATGATTCACTAAAAGAATTCAAATGGCCAACTGTCTGCAAGAAGTATAAATCCTTCCATTCCCCACCATCCAGTCAGAGCTGAAGAAGCTTCTTGGATGAGAAGTGAAACATCTTTAAGGGATAATCAGAAAGTCCAGTTGCCTCTTGCAAAAGCAGCTTTGGGATGAGATTCAGTAGAAGGCTTCTTCAGGGATGAAGAAGTTCTCCAGAAGGTTTTTCATGAACAAGGCTCTTCTTATTGATTATAGCTAAACCTTCTGGAAAAACTATCCAAAGACAGTTCTTCCATCCAAGCATGGAAATCCAAGGAAGGAAATTATTTGTTCAAGGAAAGTTGCAACATTCAGACACACTTCTCAGACATTTCTGTAATTATGTAGGTGTGAGACCACCATATCCCACACACAGGAGATGCTCCCAAATTATTGTTTTTCTCAAGCAAACTTTCTTTCATCTCATGAAATGAGATGAAAGGCCAAAGATAGGAGAATCCATCTTCCTGTATGGTTAAGAAGCAAAAAGTTAGGCTTATAACATGGGAGATAATATCTATGGAGATTCTCATCCAGGCCATGGTTGTCCAAAGGTGCTTTTTCAGGAGGCAACTGGACTTTCTTGTTTTTACTTTTGAAGACATTTCACTTCTCATCCAAGGAGCTTCTTCAGCTCTGACTGGACTTCCATTCCCCACCATCCAGTCAGAGACAAAGAAGCTTCTTGGATGAGAAGTGAAATGTCTTCAAAGGAAAAGACAAGAAAATCCAGTTGTCTCCTGAAAAAAAAAGGCAACTTTGGGACATTGCAGATAATGGATAAACAGTGGATAAAAATTGAGATACAAGGGAAGGCTAAGGGAGAGTTTCATTGCTTCATTCATTGTAAGAAAGAGAATTCATTCTCTCCTTGACTCTATTTTTGTAGATCTCATCTTCTTCATTTTCCTACAAAATAAACTTGAATAAAATTGACACTTCTCTTTCTGTTTCTTTAGATTGGGTTATGCCCAAAACTCTCATGGTGACTTTGAATGTCCATCCACTCTGTCCAAGTTTAGGAACCATAAGTAGTGTTACTTTAGTCTGTTCCATCTATAGCTACTCTCTAGAGAACATCCAAGTCACTTGGAAACCAGATGGAAATTTTGAAACATTACCAAAGGATCGGTCAAAGTTCTATGCTAGCAGCAACATTACAGTATCCCTAGAGGAGTGGAACAAGCTAAAAGAATATACCTGCAAAGTAACTCAAGCTGGAAGAAATCACACAGAGACAAGAACTATCAGCAAGTGCAAAGGTGATTATATTTGTGTGTGTGTGTGTGTGTGTGTGTGTGTGTTTGTGTGTGTGTGTGTGTCCCTTTTTACTTATTCTTTTTCTTTCTCTTTCTTTATCTCTCCCTGTTTACTTATTCTTATTCTTTTTCTCTTTCTTTTTGATTCTTTTTCTTTCTCTCTCTCTCTCTCTCTCCCTTTTATTATTTTTCTCTGTGTGTATTTCTTTTTCTTTCTCTGTTTCTCTTTTTTCTTTTTCTTTTTCTCTTTCTCTCTTTTCTTGTTCTTGTTCCTTTTCTCTCTTTCTGTTTCTTTCTCTCTCTCTCTCTCTGTCTCTCTCTCTCTCTGTGTGTGTCCTTTTTTACTTATTCTCTCTCAATTCATTATCTGTCTCCTAACATATTTCTGTCCAGAACTTCATGTTCTCTTATTTTGTTTTCCTTCTTCCTTCCTTTTGATTCTGGTTTCACCTACAAAATAATAATCACGGTGCCAGGAAATTTCATTGGAATGATCATAGAATGTAATAATGATAATAACTCAGTTGGAAAGAAAAGTGTTTGACTATAACTAGTCCTCGACTTACAGCCAATCGCTTCATAACTGTTCAGAATTACAATGGTCCTCCCCAAAATACTACTTATGGACCTATTTTCAAAGTTTTGACAGCGGCACGAACTCCATGGTCACGTGATCATAAATTTGGGCACTTGGTAATTGGTTCATCTTTACTGCCATTTGCAGAGTCCTGTGGTCATTGTGATTTGGGACTGTTTTTGCCAGTTTCTGGCATTGACTTCCAGTTTTCTACAAAACAACAACAACAACAACTCCTGTTGGGGAAAAGGTATTTGTTTAATAACTATAATACTTAACACTAACAACCTCTGCTTTGACTTTCAAATGCAAAGATTTAGGATCATAATTATGGCCTCAATTAAATTGTAAGTCAAGAACTTCCTGTATAGATTGAGTTCTAATTTGTTGCTGATCAAGCCAATTCTTCTTGCTTTCCTCAACTCTAGTTCAAATCAAATCAAGTTTCTTACAATCAAAGACCAGAGTCCAGAACAAATAAAATCACTCACAGAATATCCAGTTAAAAATTCTAGAATAAGGTAATAAATAACAGATAAAATATATATTAAAATCACAATTCAGCATCCAATCTTTCAATTACACATGGCCTAACTATAATATAATATCAATCCTTACACAGTGGCAGAGGTGGTATTCAGTGCTTTCTGACCTGTTCTGGAGAACCGGTAGAAGAAATTCTGAGTAGTTCAGAGAACTGGCAAATCCCACCTCTGACTGGCTCTGCTCCATCTATTCTCTGCCTCCCAATTCCCAGCTGATCAGCTGGGTCTTATTTTGCTGCCCTGGACAGGAGAACAGAGATGGAAAGTAGGTTAGTGGGGTGTGGTGGGAATGAGATTTTACAGTATCCTTCTTCTGCCATGCACACCAAGCCACACCCACAGAACTGGTAGTAAAATTATTTGAATCCCACCACTGCATGGTGGACTCTAGTTCAATACTTCCTACAGGTAATCCTTGACTTAAGACCACAATTCAGCCCTAAAGCCTCCTTGTCAATTTGGCTGCAATTACGCTCAGCTGAGGAAAAGGTCCTGGAGAAAAAAGCAATGGGTGCCTCAGAACTGTTAGGCAGTCTATGACTTAAAACAACCCCTATGCCAAAAGAAGAAGCGTCTGCAGCTAGAACTAAGGGCAATCGTTCATTAAATTGTATCAGGACAGCATTGGATGTAAGTAATGATTTGACAGTGTGGAAGGCATGGGCTTCCCTAGGTCCCCAGTGCCAGGGGGATTGCTTGTCCAAAAGTCTGTGCAGAGGCTCTGCAACGGAAGCTTTGTGAGACAAGAATGAAGCATAAAAGTTAAGAAGTCCTAAGAAGGCCTGGAGCTCAATCTTGTTAGTAGGCATGGGTGCCTTATGGAGAGCCCTCACTTTGGACTCAATTGGGTGTATACCAGATGCGTCAATTCTGTATCCCAAAAATTCTACTTGTGTGGTGGCAATAGTGCACTTGTCTTTTTTTAACTTAAGGCCATGCTGTCTGAAACAATCGAGGACTGCTCTGACTCTTTGCAGTAACTGAGGCTTGTCAATGGCAGATATTAAAATGTCATCAAAGTAGGAAACTACACCTGGTCTACTACACCTCTAGTCCTTGGAGAAGTCTTTCCATTAAGGATTGGAAAATCCCAGGGATTACACTTACGCCAAATTGGAGGCATCTGCATTTGAAAGCGCTGTGTGTTACTATAGTCTGCAGTTCAGCCTCTGTGTCATCAACAGGGAACTGTTGATAGGCCTGTGACATGTCTAATTTAGCGAAAATGGTTCCTGGCTCAAAAGAATGTAGGAGGTGCTGGATAACAGGGACTGGATAGGCGCTGATTTGTAAATATCTGCTCAATGACGCCTTGTAATCAGTGCAGATTCTTACACTACCATCTTTCGTTAGGGGTGTAACTATTGGGGTCTCCTATTTTGCGAAATCCACAGGCTCCAATACCCCTTGTTTGATTAATTTGTCCAGCTCAATGTCTAATTTGGGGCGGATTGCAAATGGTACCCTTCGAGGCTTTAAACAGATTGGTACTGCCTGAGGGTCCAAGTTGAATGATATTGGGGTTCCTGAATAACAACCCAGCCCCTCGCTGAACACATCAGCATAGTCCTTAAACAAGGTATCCACTTCAGCATTTGAAATAGAGTGGATTCCGGTTACGTGTAGGCCAAGGGCAGGGAACCAGTCTAACCCCAACAGGCTAGGGAGGGCACCATCCACTACCACTAAAGGCAAGTGACCTTTAAAGTTTTGGAATTGTATAAAAACTTTGCCTTTTCCGAGGACTGGGATGGTTCCGCCTTGGTAGTCACGTAGGGTCAACTGGCAGTCGAGAAGCTTCTTCTTGGTCATTCTGGGAAGTAGCTTTTTTAGGGTGCCCCAGGAGATGATGGACAGTGCTGAGCCTGTGTCAACTTCCGGCCTGCAAGGTTTACCTTCTATGGAAACAAATACACTAATTTTGTTAGAGCCTTTGTTTGTCTGCTTTGCGTGATAGCAGGTAAAACAATCTTCAACTTGTCTTTGGAAATATTGGGTTGTCTGAGGCTTTTGGGCAAAAGTCTTTCCTGCTTGACAGGCCCTGGCTAAATGACCCTTCCTTTGGCATTTTAGACAAATGGCATTCCTGAACTTGCAGGATGCCCTGAGGTGGTTTCCCCCACAGCTTAGACAAATTGGCTGATATCGGGGAGGTAGAATGGCCTGATTTCCCCTTGACTGGTTTTTTG